ACAGAGAGTCGAAGAGGAGCAAGGGGTTCACTGTTGGTGTCAAAATTAAATTTTCACCACACACAATCAGGATGGAGATGATAAAATAACAGTACAACACATGGTAAAGCCTTTCTTTGCACAAGTAACCTGGCAAAACAAACAAGCAAGCCCACAGAAGTCCTGTGTTTCCATCCATACTATGAGGCCCGGGGTCTTTCCTGAAATGAGGGAATTCAGGGTTGGACTGACATGAGGATGAGGCGAGCCCTTAAAGCTCCCAAGGTGTTGAGCATGAGAAGTCTAGAGACCGGCAGTGTTTGGCAGGCAGACTTCCCACAGGCTAGGGACTGTCTCTTCAGATAGTATTCTCCTCACTTGCATTCCAAAAGAGTCAGAACACTAGAAATTCCTAGAGGGTCTTTCACATTGAAAGAGATGTTGGAGGAGGATGCTGAGCTGTTTCTATAGTTCCTATACACAGTGTGTTAACCTTCCTGCCCCACCCCCTTCCTTGGTACATAAATAGCAGCTCAAGGTCCCAGAACCCTTACTGCTGCTGCTGCTTCTCCACCTCCTGCTGTTCCTCAGCAGAAACAGAACCATGGTGACTGGGATCTTAGGTAAGGAGACATCAGGCCATGGGGACAGAGGTGTCCTGACACCCGTCTTTTACATCTGAAGATCAAAATCATGTGTTTCTTTCTTGTTCTGTTGCCAGCCCCACCCCTGGCACAGCCCCCGTCCCTACCCCTACACCTCATCCCCGACTCCCGCCAAGCATCCTTCCTAGCCTCTCTGACTGTGTTGCAATCCTCAAGTCTGTGACTTTCGATCACCCTCTTCCTAGAGCCTTCCCTGCATTTCCTCACATGTCATTCCCATCCCAGGACTCCTATCAGAGTCAAATCCACCCTGAGCTATTAGACTCAAATGACTCTCTGGCACCCCCTTCTGACCTGCTGGCTCCACCTTGCACATCATCCTTCCTTCCCTTCTCTTTCCTCAGCTGCACTCCTGGTTTCTGCACTCCTACACTCAGCAGGAGCCACAGGTAAGAATGGACCACACAGCGAGGAGGGAGGGGATGGGCTGTGGGTGGGGTCCTCGGCTGTCCTGTGTAGGTCATCCAGCTGTGACTCATCCCAGATACTGGTCCATTGCTGTGCCAGCCAGCACCCAGATGTGGGGACCAGATTTACAACCCCTTCAAGCAATGCTGTGACAATGACAGCATCCTGCCCCTGAATGGCACCGGCCTCTGTGGCCCCGGATGCATCTACTGGCCCTGTTTCCAACATTGCTGCCTGGAGTCCTCAGCTTCCAAGAACCAAGGGATTGTCAGGTTCAAGGTCCCAGGCATGAAGCCCGACTGCAGATCCTCCCCCATCTCCACAATCTGTGCCCAGGTAAGTGTTCTGTTACAGTCCAGGTGGGGATAGGAGAAAGCAGGGATGGAGCATGGCTGTCTGAGCCTCCTCCCAGGAGTGCACTCTCTGCTGAGGCCCCACCTTTCTATATCTGGGTAGCTATAAGACACTCCATGTATCTCTGTCTCACACCCAATACCCCCTCATGTCCCTCTCTCTGCAGGAGCCTCACCCCACCAGCTCTCAGATTGATCTGACTTCCTCTAGAACATCTTAGAGAACAGAGTTTCAAGTCATTTCGGAATCTGATATTTTGTAATCAGCCATTTGGAGAGTGATTTTTCACTATTTCTATTTTTTTATTATTATTAAATTGGTTCTTTGATGGTTTCACACATGTATATAATACATTCTTGTTATGTCCCCCCCAATCCACTCTAATCTCCCTCCTACCACAGTAAATACCTCCCCCTCTGCTTGTCCCTTTCCTGGGTTAATGGTGTAAGGTTTTGTTGTATGACCTACTCAGTTTAATCTGATGCATCTGTGTGACCACTGCATTGGGACTATTCACTGTAGCCTGAGAGGTCACCAGTGGCACAGAGCCGAAGTCACTGACTCTGCCTTCCCCCAAATTTATCCAAAGGAACAATTCAGAAATGAGAGACAGAGCCCCCTAAATTCTTCTCTACCCTTTCCTGGCATTGATGGGCCCATTCTTGGGCAGACCCAGCACAGTTATCCAGAGTTGTAAGTTCCTGCTTGCAGCGACTGTGTCTTGCACAGAAGATGGCGTTTTGCAGGGCTTCTCCCCATCTTCCAGCTCTTACACTCTTTCCCTCTTCGGCAATGTTCCCTGAACTTATAGAAGACACAAAACTGTCTAATCTAGTGCTGAGCACTGAACAATCGCTGTTCTCAGCACCTTGTGCTGCTCATTCTTCTCTTCCTTCAATGTGGTTCAACTGAAGAGAAGACTCTGTGATTAAAGCCAAGAAGAGTGTTTACTGTCTGTGAGTATAAACATTCTTATTTAGAAAGTAGTCCAATGCTTTGTGAATTTGGCTAAACAACAGAAGTTAGCATGCACACACACACACACCACCACCACCACCACCACCACCCCCAGGTCCTACGACCTTCCATGCCATGGGATTTTGAGTGGGTTTATGGTACCACATATGGAATGGACCTCCAATCCAATCAGAGAGCATGTTGGTTACCCACATACCATCTGTGCCACTATTGAACATCTTTCCTCACAGGTTGATATCATAGTTGGATTCATAGCTGGGTAAGACTTTCCCCACCCCCCACCCCCCAACAGCCTGCATGGCATCTTCTGGCACTATGAAAGCTACCAGGCAGGAAGGAGGCTTCAAACACAGCTCCATCTCCATGGCTCTGTGTCGTGTGACTGTGATGTGTGATGCCTTTGGCAACCAAGTGTTATCACCTAGTTCTTTGGGCAACCAAGAGCAAGGACAAGAGCCTGCATTGTTTCTTGAGTCCACAGGGGCTCCCTGACCAACCAGTCACGAGCAATCCTACTCCTGGCCCTGGAGTTTTGCTCTATAACCCATCACTTCCAGGAGAGCTTTTTGCCAGCCATGCAGGGTGCCTCCCTCCCAACTTTTAAGGTTGTTTACAAGATTGTAGGTTTATATGGAGCTTTTTCTTGTTTTCTCTCTCTGTCTCATTTTTATCATTTTTTAACTGTAAAAATGTATGATAGTCACATTAATTCACTCACCTAACTCCTCCTAGATCTGTCACAACTTCCCATTTACCTACATTATGGACTAAGGGATTAATGGTTCTAACATCCAAAGGCAGTGGATGACTATAAAGGAACAGTCTTTTGGGGTGGGGGGGACACATTGGGGCACATTGCACATAAGGACTCAAGCCAGACAAAATTCCCAACATGGAAAGAGTAAGCATGCAGTCCCAACCATAGCTCAGAAGATAATGTCAACTGATAGTTGCTATGAGAGGGAGAGCCAATTTTATTTAAGGGTACAGCACCTAATGGATTGACCACATCCTTTTTAATACCCTCTTACCCTCACATCTGCCCCCCCCCGTTTTCTCTATCTCCCCACTCCTTTCCTTCTTAATCCTTACCACTATCTGTATCCCCTCTATGTTTTGTATACATATATAAACAAATAAATGTATACATACAACCACTTCAGTCTCTTTAGTGTTGCTTGAACATTTCTAGGGCTGACCACTTGGTGTTGAATAACCAATAAGGCATCTCATCCCTGTGGAATTAGGTGGAGTCTAATTCTCCATCTCTCAGCAGTCATCAGCTGCTTGTAGCTCTTGATCTAGGGTTTGGGCTCTAGGAGATTTCTCCCACACGTGTTGAGAACAACTGTGGGTGTCCTTGTTCAGATCTTTACAGAGAGCCACTTTGTTGAGCTTTCATGGGTGCAGTTTCCATGACATGTCTAGAAAATACAGTCTCACAGCAGACTTCCTGAATCTCTTACAATATTTCCACTCCCTCTTCTGTACCCCAGGGAGGAACGAGAGCCAAGGCCTCCTTGGTCCAGGCTTTTGTTTTGTTTTGTTTTGTTTTGTTTTTCGAGACAGGGTTTCTCTGTGTAGCTTTG